TTTAGTACGTTTGCTATACGACTCGTCTCCGCTTCAAAATTGGACCTGGCGCGTTGATTGATCACATTTTTCATGAGTAAATTATTCATTCACGTTATTTGCTATCGAGTCTCACAAATCGTGTTTACATAAAATCGAATCCTTTGACTAATTCCTCGTTCGGTGTTACACCACAGAATCAGCGGAAAGTTTAACATTGTCAACTTCTCGATTGTGTTCACAGTAACTCCAGTCCCGGTTATTTAAAAGACCGTGCTCGAGCCAAGCGGAAAGTTGTACTCTTTGATGAATAGTAGTGGTTTCGGTTCAATTTTAATACATTTATGCTGGATTTTAGATGTCGACCACGAAAGTTGTGTAAACATATACGACAGTATAGTCATCGGGAGATATACTGATAATCTTTTTGCGAGTTTGTTTCGACAAAGGAGAAACATTTTTGGGCGTAGCTATTTTGGAGTGTGAATTTATGCTGCAATTGCGTCAAGATTGCAATTCAATATTTTATCAATTTTCCGCGCAAACTACCGTACACAAAATTAGTGTCTTCTGATGAGAAAGGTGCCAGTTAATGATATATATTTTACTCAGACAACGAAAATACTCAAGGTTTCAAGGTGTCACAGTGTAAGGCCTGCTTCTTGCAATTGAGAGGACAACCCACATAACCTACACTGGACAGGGCGTTCTTTCACTGCTAGAATGGGATAGACAAAACAATATTACTGGAAATGACATACACATGCACATACACCAAAATATCGAGGTAAAGCTCCTGGCTTTAATACCTCTCAACATAATTACAAGAAATAAAGCACAGGAAAAGACAAATAATAAAATCACTAAAATAGGGATTGCCTCTATAACGAAGTGTGCATTGGTGAAAACTTACAGTTCCAGGATATAGAAATTGATGAGTCAATGGCTTCCGCAACATTGCTTGCCGAGGAACACTGTTATTCTGGAGGGCACCGGTGAAAGCAGGAGATCGCAGAGCAGTTTCTATAAGTCTCACAGAATGATAGTTGAAGCCTGTATCGCTTGCCTCATAATATCGTACCAGGAACATATAGTGTACACTGTAGAAATGATGGACTCCAACTGTCCTCAGTCTGTCCAATTTATAGGCATAAATGGTCCAGATTCGGGGAAACCACCTGGGTTTCCACAGCAACTCAGTAGATCAAAAGCATATTTTGTTATTCAAACAACAGCGCACCTGGTATATTGCAACTGTTCTTCTAAATTTGTAAACACCCTTTGTTATGTAAATCACAAGCACACCTGGTGATTCCAACTGTATTCAAGAGTTGAAAACAAGTATGACCTGTCAATCATTTCTATTACATTTATCACACGGCAATGCACACCGTTTCTTCCCGTGATTCCATGCACACTTTCATTTGCAGGGTTTGAGGTAATATGACAAAAACTTGGAATAAAGGATGTTGACACAAGGTGTTTATTTTTTCTGCTGACACAACAATCTCAATACAGCTACCATAATTTTACATTGATTTACTGCAACATCAATGCAGCATCAAGAAATACAACAGCAGTAATCTTTGGCACTTACATCGTGTCTTACATGATTGAGAACAGAACAGGAATCATCTAGTAAATGAGCTAGAGGCTATTTTCGATTGGAATGCAGAGAAACAGATGGAGCGGAGGAAGCTGGGATAAATATATATTAGCTGCGATTTGAATATAACTATTATTATTGAGTACCTGACATCCTATCAAAGTTATCAGTACTTATCAACATTATTTGTAAAATTGCATAGAATCAAATACATGGCTACACATAACATAGATAACATAAACCCCGGTTTCTAGGGAATAAAATATCGCCATGAAATTACTATGAGAAAGGAATAGCTTATTGTTGAAATGCTTTTATTTGCATTATTTAAAATACCAATTTAAAAAAAAAAATATGTTAACTTTTTGTTTGGAGAGTGTGGAGTACTGAGGTGCGAGATCTTTTCCGTGGTCGTGGGTTCCTGCAATTTTCTGTTTGCGTAACAATATGTTCGTAGTCTTCCTGTACTTTAATATATGCATTTGTTTGTGCCATTACTGTTTTTTGAATTAAAAAAAATACAATTCATTCAATTCATTAATTAACAATCATGTCACAAGATGGTTTGTGCAGTAAACATTCCGTTTAATACGTTAGATCTAGAAATGTTGCTTTTACCTAGGCTTTTGTGTAATTGGTTAGTGACACGAATCAGCTTGACAAGACAAGAAAATTACGAGCAGAATGGTAATTGAACATAAATATCTTTCAATCTATAATGATGATATTATGCTCATGTATGTTAACATCCATAAATAAGCAGAGCGGATAATAAGGATACATAAACATTGAATCAATAGTTGGGGATCTATCCACAAATATTGTTGCTCGTATACTTAATGTGAAAATCCCTCACTGAAACGTGATGTGCATGGAAGATACACAAACAGAATATTAGTCATACAACCTTGAAATAGTGTTGCCCTGAATCCACGAGATCTTCTTTCGCTATGGGAGAATCCATGTCGGTTTTGTGTGGACAGATGTGTACCGAATATGAATAACGCCCACTTCGTGGATCCAGGGCAAGAAATAAGGTATTGTGCACAGCATTGTAACACGGAAATAAAAATGATGGTGTATTTTGTAAAGCTGACATGCTAAGCGTAAGACTAATCTCACTAATTGACCAGATCAGATTCATGTGGTAGTAGTAGCTACAAAGGAGACATTTACATTTGTTGCAGTTTCTATCATGTACGTCCCAGAAGTTTAAAAAAACAA